TTTTATTGCAAACTATTTGCAAAGCTTTTTGCTGAAGAAAGCGCGCAGCATGGAAAAGCTTTTATAGACGCACTGGCGTCTTCAAGTCGCTTGCTGCCTGATGTCATCGGACTGCAAGTGTAAACAAAGTGCATTGACCTCATTCCGAGTATACCGAGTCGATGAAGCATGACTATTCAGTAAAAAAAGGCTGATGTATGGCGCACAAATAGTTGTTTGTAGGCGTGCCTCGTCGACTTTGAGAATAACTTGCCTGTGATAGTTTACAAAATATATGAAATCTATTAAAAATCTAAGTATTATAGATGAGGAGATAAGGAATCAATATTTGGATCAAATTATTTGGACTAAAGGACGCAAATAAAGTTGATCTCAAACTGCCACTGCACACAGCACTAGTTTCCTGTCAATATTTTTCTCAGAGAAGTTACATAATGAAAAAATATACATCGCGAAAGCTGAAGACAGCAAACATCTTCCGACCATTTCACACAGCTGCATCAGACATGTGATGACACATGTTACAACTGTTGCCATCTTGTTGCCATGATAAGGGCACAGATGTATGTATATCGAATTAAACTCTCGCTTGCATGTTGTCAGCAAAATTGCTACAACTTTGTCGAGACATTGCCAAAATCATACATTTTTTTTTATCCCAACTGTTGCGATGGAATAGTGCAATTACCTGCTGTCTTGATTTAAAACAAACAAAATTGTACCTAATACGATTAGGAGTCTGTAGATAATGAAATTCACGGTAACTCTGAGTTATTTTGGCAACTAAACTATAAATTGTATTACTAAGCCCTCTCGGAAGTACATTATCGCATTTGCATCCTCATTTTGTGGAGATGTCTAAATTTTCCGTAGCTTAAAAGTAGAAGATACAGCACCCATACGGCACAGATGGTTGCGGTTACATTACAGAAACGTTGCAATCTTGCAGGGACATTGCAGGGATATAAAATTGCAAACTTTCGATAGCAATATTGCAGCAATGTTTCAAAAATAATGAAAACACTATATTTTCTATTTAAGAAATTTTTCTAATTACGAGAATTTTATAATGTTATTTTCGTTGATACCAATAATTCGCGAATTATTAAGTACTTGACCAGTGCGGTGTTGCTCGCAAGCTCCATCTATTGTGAAGCGACATAACCTCCTTAGGTTGCTTCGCAATAGCTTGCTGTGTATTGAAAAAGGCCCGGACGTATATGTAATTAGTAAATTCTCTGCTTATGTACAACAACGACAAATTATTCCAAAAATATTGCACCGCAACAATGCTATAATGTTGCACTGCAATCTCTCTGAGGGCGGACATTTCAACGTTGCTGCAATCCTCCAGAAACGTTGCAGCAATGTTGCGCAACGTTGCCGCAATATTGCAATCTTGCAATGTAACATTTCTGCAATCTTCCTGTGCTGTGTGGGATAATATCAGGTTAATTTTGCCAAGAAAAGATACGCATTCCAATCTAGTCGAGAGAAAATTATAAATAAGGAATTAGTATACGTATACTGTGTGCGCATTAATAAATCTACTCTCTAAAAATCAATCAGTGGATTATCACTGAAAACAGCGAATAGTCGCTGACTTACAGTTGTAAGTGTACCACTGCGATTTTCAGTGGTATACTTACAATTGTAAACCAGCGGTGTCCATGATGCCCGCGTATCAACGGTGTTAAACGATGTCCTTAACGGAAACGCGCGATTTCTCGTTCGAGACGGTCGTGTCCGTAATTTCCGTGTTTTGTGCGGCACCGTCCGCGGACGAGATGTAGATAGCGTGTACTCCGCGCGAAAGTATAGATAGATATATACACATACATACGTATGTATCTGTATATACGAGCGGCTGTGACGTAAGAGGGATTCTCACTTCGTTACCACCTCCCCTGCCGAAATGAGATGCAATGGTAGCGTTTCAGCAACGGTTCATCCAAAGGGACTCGGAATGGGAAGCCTTCCGTGGCAGCTTAACCACAGTGTATAATCTAGACCTGAGAGGTGCGAATTTCCGGCCTGATGGCTCGCGAGTTATTAATTATTCAAATAGTTCCGCGCGAGCGAGCGCGGCTGCGGCGCACCAGAGCATTAATAATCAACAGAGTGATAAAACTAACGGAATTAATTTATTTCTAATACTAATGTCCTATCTATTCAGGTACAAATATATACAATTTAAAGAAATATAGTTTTCGTTTGTGAACATCTTCTTCCCTCATATTACATAATATGCGAGCTTTGAGACTCTCGCAAGATATTTCTGAGTAGACTAGTTTTGAAGTCTTACAACGGGACTAGGAGACCCAACATTTGTACCTAAATTATCGTGTCACGTGCCCAGTTGTATGAATTCTTTCTTTTTATGATAGGTATCTATCTAGCAAAGGGTGTTGCGGAGACATACAGGTCAGTATGACGGGTTGCCCATTCGTACAGGCGCGCATGGCCGTTCACGACTGCGTAGGCTTCAGCGCGAGAGTAACAAGCGGAACATGAAGTCATGATGAAGTACAAATGACACCATAATGATCGTCAAAAGTCACATTTTAACAGGAAAGTAATCAAATTATGATTTTGAGATGCGCGCCTGCACGAACAAGCAACCCGTCACACTGCCCTGAATGTTTCTACATTGTTTTTATGATCGCATAAAGAATATAAAAGTGCGAAGAATAAAGAAACAAAAAGATACTACAAAAAGATCTCTTGGGCGAAATAACGTGACTCGATTGCTTTGATATTATTGTATGTGGAAGCCATGAGCAATGATAATGAAAATCATAATTCAAATTATATTCCTGCACTGAGAGAGATAACGGGATACAAAATATGGAATAACTCAAGCACGCTTGCATTAGTAATTCTTCTGGTCCGACTGCTGCTGGAACTCTGCCATAACTTACGTTATAATGTCTGTGCATTATTGGGAAAGCTTCAAAAATAGTAGTTTAGTAGAAATAACGATTTAGAATATACACACGGAGAAAAGATTCTCTTAAAATTTATCCTGAAAATCGTGTAATCGTGGGACAACGTGGCAGTTCGAAAAATTTTATGAGTTTTTTTTAAATTTCATCATACATTTTACATGGAAAAAATGTAGCGCAGTAGCTAAAAACATGCGATAACTAAATTTCAGTTGTAAACTATGGACTGCTAATATTTTGCTACTATGCCTGTTGTATGTGCAACAGCAAACCGTTTGCTGTGGCTTATAATTATGTCAGCAAAATGTTTTTAGCAAATCATGATTAGCTGCGGTAGCGAAAATTTTTTTCAGTACACTAGTGATTATATTTAGTATATATTTTTCTAGTAAAATGTATGGTAAAGTTTCAAAAATCTTTCATAAAATTCGTCAAAATACCATGTTGTCCCACGATTACACGATTTTCAGGATAAATTTTAAAAGAAAATTGTCTCTGTGTAGTTATTTTCATAATGTTATCTTCTTTTACGTCGTAATTTAGAAAAAAATTTTAAATACAGTAAGTTTAATCAAAATAATTTAAAAATAAAATATTTCGTATCTCTTAAGCGGACAAAGCATATTTATTTTTCCTGGTAAAGGTATATTTTTCGCAATAAATTTCATCTAATTAAATTACAGCCAGTTGTGTCAAATAATATCAATTTTCTGTTATAGTTTTACAGCAAACAAAAGATTATTGTTTATATTTATTTCTTTAATTTAATATATTTTCGAAATTGTGGACAATCGATTATTTCTCAACATTTTGTACGTTACATGGCTTGGTCACATTAATTAAATTAAAATTTCTATTAATTATTTAAATAAACAATAAAAAGCAATTAAAAATCTAATTGTATGTAAAGAAATTCCGCGAAAGTGGTCGCGAATAGTTTATTTTTCTTTGTAAAACTTGCTCCCTGCAAATTCGAAATTTACTAGCCTTTAACGACAGTATATCCCGATGAAAGCTTTAAAGTTTTGCGGTCGACATAGATGGATGCACATCTTCACGCCTACGCTAGATGCCTTCGGGTCCGCTCAAAGTAATCGCGCATACTTTATCTTGTCGAAGGATTTTTAGTCATTACACATTTTCGCGTATGCGAGATTAATAGTCGTAGCCTCTGCGCAGCGGTATAATTTACCGTCTGGTTTTCGTTACACGTGTCCAGGGAGACCGATTCTTACCACATCAATTGACTTCAACCGTAGTTTAATTGTTCTTCCGTCCCTTCCCGCGAACAAGAGAGACAATCGAACTACGACTGAAGTTACGTGACGTCAGAGGACACGGCCCTAAACGACGAAACATTAATCTTCGGCAATGACTATACAAACAAAATATGTGCTTTATAAACAACATAATCACTTTTTATAATTATATTTTTATTAAAATCTTATCCAAATAATGCACTAAATATTTAAAAGTATATTCCTTCTATCTTTGATACAAGTGTGTCTGTTTCATAAGAAATGTATAAAAATGACTATTGTCTTTTAATTGTTCTACAGCAACATGTAGTTTATAATAAATATAAAAAGTTGCCTCGTATAAATAAAATACTCGAGAAAATTCGCACAAAGAATTGATGCCCTCTTTTTCATTGTAAATATACGATACGCGATTGCCTTTTATTTAACGATTCGTAAAATTTTCACCACAGAAGTGTATAGCTCGTCTATTTAAGGAGTCGCCGTTCAATGTTGCAATGTGCATAAATTTATTTTCTCGATAATGAGGTCGAGATCCAACTTGAGAATAATTCGAAAATTGATTTTTAAAAAGTGTACACGCCCACACGAAGCCGCGGCGACTCACGCCGGTTAAAAATAATAAAAGAAATTACGTACCCGTGCCATGTCAATAAATAACCGGGGATGTTAAATCTTGCAGAAGCCGCGCGCGTACCAAAACCATGAAACTTTCATTCATTTCTAAGTTTTAATTCCTGGTGTAATCAATAATATGAAACAATCTCAATGATTATGTATGTGTTTTTGTTCACAGCGTCCCGTCTTTTAAGACGGAAAATACCGTGTACAGGCCATTTAATGACCCCCCGCCGCCTATGGATACAAAAGGTTCCTACTCAGGTACGTACACAAAAGCATTGTTAAACACACAGTTAAGTAGATCGAAAGTTATTTTTAGATAACCTAATAAGAATAAAACTGTTAAATATTCGCTCGACATCGTGGATAGCGCGATTCCGCGTGCGGAATTCTCGTCGGAAATTCGTATCTTCCAGTTGGCTTCACAGCAGTGATGTAAAATCTCATAACTTTTCGCACGAAAGTAATATCTAGATTAAATAAGTTATTAATAAAGATGTTTCTGAATTCAACATCAAACTTGACGAAATATTATTCGACATTAAGGGGATGCTGGAGTGATTCTGCACTTTTGCACCTTTCTAACCTAGAAACTATCAGTTCGCGGAAACACTTGTGTAACATACAAATTAAATGACTTGCGTGTACAGATCGAAAGCAGCTTGCTATTCCGGCTAAATGAAAGAACAATATGGCATCACTGAAACTAAGTTTGTAAGTCTTATAAAAATTAATAGTGAGCAACACACATTTATTAGACTTACAAATTTAGTTTCAGTGATGCCATATTGTTCTTTAATTTAGCCGGAATAGCAAGCTGCTTTCGATCTGTACACGTGGGCCATTTAATTTGTGTATTACACAAATGTTTCCACGAAACAGTTTTAAGTGCAAAAGGTGCAAAAGTGCAGAATCACTCCAGCATTCCCTTAAGGAGTGAGAACAAGATCGGCCCCATTTTTTCTCGTATTTCATTTTGGTCACAGAGTAGGTACCGAACGAAAGGTCTCGTCAAGATGATCGCAGACATGTCAGTCTCAGAGCGTACCTATTTAACGTTCCGGAGATATCGAGCTCCAAAAATTCCCAGGTAAGCGATGAAGCAGTCTGGACAAACACCAACGCGAGGGGGAAACAGCTGACCAAAATCTTGTACACCAATGCCCATTAATGCCCAGTGCGCATTACTGTATCTTATTATCTTCTTTTATCTTATTTTATCTTCTTTTATCTCATTTTATCTTTATAATGCCCAGGCCTAATGCCCAAACTAATGCAAAAAAATGCCCAGTAATGCCCAGTACTGCCGCAAATTCGTACACCACAATGTCGTCAGCGGTTCCCTCCTCGCAGCAACCATTTGTTTGGAATGGAATGGAACCTTAGGAGCCCGATATCTCTGTAACGTTAAATAGGTACACCCTGAGAGTGACATATCTGTAATCAGCTTGACGAGACCTTTCGTTTGGTACCTACTTTGTGATACCAGAATCGAATACGAAAAAAATGGGGCCATTCGCCTATGGACATTTGTTCTCACTCTTCAGCAAAGCATTATTTGGTAAACGCTTTATTGCACAGAGTACTTCAATTTCGATACCTATTATTTCGAAAATTTGCGAGCTTCGTCCAATTGCATTACGCTTAGATTATATATGTCAATGTCGCCGGATGATTTTAATACGCAACACAACGACGCTATTTACAGGTCAATTATCGATTCCAAATGTTGTTAAATGAGCGATGTACGTGTCACGTTTCACCGCGGTCATTTTGTACAAGTTTAATGCGCGAATACTCTTTTGTGATGAAACGTAATACTCGTCTGGTTTTCTCGTCTGGTAATATCGCTTGTTTAATATCCTTTTAACATTCGATTGCTGCGGCCACAGCGACAGCGGTAGCGTCCGTGTGTTGCCATTAGCGAAAGGTACTCGAGTATCTCTTTCCCGTGTACCTACGTGACTATCTTCATCAATCATGATATGCAGCGCGATCCGATGACATCACCGCAAAATATCTAATCTGATAAAAGAAACGCGTCGACACGCGTGCCTATAACGAGAATGCCAATTCGAAATTTTATTTTTACAATCACAAACGTAAGAGCCTCTTCTATAAATTGGAGCATCGACTGGAACGCGTTTCCGCGAACGATAATCGTTAAAGATGGCACTTCTGTTTCTGCGAAAGTAAAAATATCGATCGTACACATTAAGCTCTTAGTGGGCACCGAAGAACTAACTTCGCGTGTGTTTCGATGCTTACTCTTTCAAGCTACATTGTTGATTCTGTTACCCGTTTGTTTGGCCTTCTGCTACTCCGTCTTGAATTGCGGACTCGATTTTTGTCATGTTAGCGCGATGTGACGTAAATTTATCTTGGATATGTTATTTCATGAAATATGGGACTTTACAATTATTTTAATGGTATGTTACTTCTAATAAAAGTTCCAATCTCTCTCTCTCTCTCTTTCACGCGCGCGCGCCTCCTCCCACCCCTTTCTCTTTACATATCTATCTATCTATTTATCTATCTCTTAAAAGTATCATTAAAAATCATCTATTTAACTTGTATAAATACAATATCATCTATAAAATCTGCATATCTATATGATTTGCTAAGTAATTGGTTCACGACATATGTTTCAGTTATTTGAAATAATTCATGTTCTCCATTTATTAAATGGAATTTATGGCACGTATACATTCAGAGAATAGTTTTACCGTACTTTTTATAGTAAATAATATCGCGAGTGTTATATAGAAAAAAAGAGGAAAGGAATTATTGAGAGGACACAATATAACACAATTTAATCAGGATAACAATTTCTTAAGCAAAGAATTAATTTATCGCGTGTGTACATACACTAATTCCTTTCCATCCGTCGGTCTTTTTCGACTGGCAGTAGTTTCTACGCCTAATCTTAACGCTCGAGAATAAGCTGGCGGAAATCCAAGTAGTATAGCGCTTGGTATAGCCGGTATTGCCAATTCACATACGATACCCCCGATAACACGGCTGACCTAGTAATGCGCGTACTTGGCCATACCGCTAAACCTTCGAAGTAGGTTTTTTTTCGGTTGCGTTGGAAACCATTAATATTTCATGAAATGACATGTAAGACCGTTGAACCATTCTTCGGAGAGAAAGAACCTAATGGATTTATGCGGTAGTCCGATAAACTTAATATACTCTTCCAAAATTTTTTCCTTACGAGCTTTACAAAGCACTACTGATGCAGAATACATTTTATAGATTCAAAAAGTTCTCATTTTGTGTCAATAGTAATTTTTAAAGATCGCAAAAAAATTGTTGAAAGAGCGAATTAAGTTTTGGACTAACAATTGTTTTTATAAAATGTTATGTTGAAATTACTTTTAATTTATTATAGGAGAGCATTTTCTCTGAAAATTTATCCTGAAAATATGATCGTGAGAAAACGCATTTTGAAGAACTTTATGAAAGTTTTTTGAAATTTTACCACACATTTTACTAGTAAAATGTATACAAAATATAATTACTAGTACACTGAAAAGAAATTCTAAAGAGATACTTAAAATATATATTTTCTTTCTCCAAGTAATTATATCATCTTGAATTTCTGTAGCAATCGAATGTTTAGCAATCTTAAATTTCTTTCTCTTAAAATTTATCCTGAAAATCACGCGATCGTGGGACAACATGGCATTTTGAAGAACTTTATGACAGGAATTTTATGAGTTTTTTTAAATTTTACCATACATTTTACTAGTAAAATCTATATTAATCTATATTCGCAGTTTATCATTCGTAATTTGTTATTTGTCGTTTTGTAACTATTATCTGTCATTACTGGACTTGTATTAGAAGTCTACAAAATTAGTTCAGTTCCAATATTAATAAAAACAGTCACCATTTTCGTTGAAAACCCGCTAGCGAATCACTACGAATGGCGAATTGTACTCGTACATGGCGAATTTTTCCTCCACACTATTCACGAATCGCGCATAGTATAGCTTTACTTATAACGTCGTTACCGCGATTTTGCTTTTTTTGATAACGAATGGATAACGACGTTACATTTTCTCTTTTGTTACGTTCATGGTAACGTAATTACGTTTTGTGGGGAACAGTAACGATCTTACTTTCATCGTTACTTTGCCGCACGTGAACTTTTCACTATATGTCGCATTCAGAAAACAAAGCATTTCAGTGATCTTTAATATGATTCGTTCTTTGTCTTGCCTGTAGTTCTTCGTTGACTAAAAAGTATAGAAACCAATCATAATACAAATTATATATGTGTTTAATATAGTACTATATTAGTTATAAAATAACTATTATAAAATAATATGTATAATAAATATTCAAATTTTGTCTGGTCAACTCTGCATTTTTATAAAATAATATATAAAGTCAAGTCGTATATATTAGTAGAGAAAAGTCTCCTATTAAGAAATAGGATCTTAATATGAGACAGCGGGTTTTCTGTCAAATTAATAGGCGACATCAGTTGATTCCACAATGACTTTGTTGCCCTAGTGGAAAATGAATTGTTAGATCGTGTAATCGTTGCGAAAGATTTAACTGAATTTGGGTGTTGAAAACCTGCTATCTTATAATAGAGGATTTTCCTCTATACAGGATGTCCCAGGAGGACAGTTCAATATTCTGGCAAGTAATAGTATCGGTCATTTTAAGCAATAATGTTCATACGAATATACCGTATGTCCCATTCCCCACCGAGATAGAGCTACTTGAATGTCTCGTGTATTTACTTGTCTTCTGTACACTTCACCCTTCATCCAACTTCATAAACGTCTGCGGGAATTTACTCTTATACGTTTGTAGACTGTTGCGCTAATAACATTGTAGAAATATTCAAAATGCTTCGTGTATGCACAATTGTCGAACGAGCAACACGCTATGTTCACGCAAGAGTCGAAAAATGCATTGTTGTTAACGGTGGAATTTTTGAAAATTTATTATGACCTGTAAAAAATGTATCACTTGAACAATAAATATTAAAAATAGTGCGTGGTGTTTCTTTCTTGTAATTCTGCAACTGTATATTCAAATAGCTCTATCTCGGAAACAGTGGGGAATAGGACATATATTTATATGAACATTTTTGCTTAAAATGACCAAAACTATCACCTCCCAGAGTATTGACCTTTCTTCCTGGGACACCCTGTATATCAAATTTTTAACCTTATCCTTTTACTGGTGGATATAATGTTACTTATACCTTCTGTTGTTACTTACTGCAGAAACTTGTATCTAATTGTACTAATGAAGAAACAAATAACGAAAATCGTAACGACACGTTAGTTTTTTAGTAACGGTAGGTAATGTAGGTATAAAGTTACTTTTTTCAATCAACAACGAGTAACGGCAACGAGTTACTTTTATAAAATAATATTCCCAACCCTATTATAATCGTTAACAATGTATGGCGAAATTAAAAAAACTCATAAAATTTCTGGAAACGCCGCCGCGTTGTCCCACGATTACATAATTTTCAGGACAAAAGAAAATTCCCTCCGTGTAGATAAAGAGATTGCTTACACGTCCTCTACATTTATAGAGAAATGGATGTTGTAAACTCCGTCACATTTTCCGCCACATAAACTATGCGCAAAAGCTCAATAAGTTTGACTTCTTTCAGGAATGCGATGTAGTCATGATGTTCCCCAGCGGGGCGAACGACGAGACCTTGATGTGGCTTCTAGGTCGGCTCCGGGCTGGAACCCCGGGGCTAATAGTTCACGTGCGACATCACGCCTCGTCGGACAGTTACGGGTTTTACATTACGGCACCATTTAGCGTGTAAGTATCCGTTTCGCGGCAGGGTACGAAGCACCTCTCGACGAGAATCGTGCAAAATGGAGTAAAAACCAACAAGCGTAACTCTCTGATCGGCACGTAGTCTGCTCAAGGCCGCCGAGGAGGTGCATCTTCCGAAGTCCCTGAGACAGGAATTCGGCGGTGGATTCAAAGAGTTCGTCGGCTCCGAAGCTAACTGCTTCGAAGGTAGCGACGACGAGATCCGGTTCTTCACTACCCAAGAGAAGCAATCCCTTGTGCTGCACCTACTTCATACCCTGAGGGCCGGCCCTCACGATCTCCATAGTCTATCCGGTCTTAAGATGGTGGAGGGTCAAGCGATTATCCCAAAGTGCATTTCATCCGGTATTATTTCTCAGGTGCGATATACGTGTACATTGATCTTATCGTATCTCGCTCGCATCTCCCTCGACGAGACAAGAATCCTCTCGTCTCGTCGAAGGGGAGATCCGTGACGCGACTCTACTTTCGTCAGGTCTTCCCTCTTCATGAACTACCCGCGTTAGAGAAACTGCAACGGAGTTGGGTCCGCGCGTTCCTCAGCCCTCAACCGTTGGATGATATTTGTAAATACTTCGGGGTGAAAATCACCATGTACTTCGCCTGGCTCGGCCACTACACCACCGCTTTGATCGTTCCAGCTGCAGTGGGTGTCATATACTGGGTACGTACACGTCTCACCTCTCACGTTGTAATTCAAACATTGATACAAAAAAAGTACGTAAAATATCTTGTCCAGCTAATAAACAAAATGGGAGGAAACGTAATGGCGTTGGATCTCTAGTAGAATCAACCGATTCTCAGACAACCAAGATGTCCTGAGATTCAAAGATAAGCAATAATAAGTAACGATCGGACCCCAACCGTTTAGGTCGGCATCATCGGCAGGAACCAAGCGGTGGAGGACGTGGCGTACGTTCTGTTTTCGGTGTTCAACGTGATATGGGCTACCGTATACCTGGAAACGTGGAAAAGGAGGGGCGCGGAATTGGCGTACAGGTGGGGCACTTTGGATCAGAGGGACGATTTGTTGGTCGAGCCTAGACCTCTGTTTACAGTAAGAACCTTTCGAACATTTTAAAGCCTTGGCACTCCGATGTCGGCACGGCAACGCCGTGCTACTCCAGCGTCCACGCCCGCACAGCGTTGTAGAATATGCTTTCGCTACGCCACATATTATAACACAACGGCGAAGTTTTCATCGACAAAAGTCCACTTGTTAGACTCGTTCAAAGTTCCATCAATTTCACCGATTAAATTCCAACTGTCCAGGGAACCTTGGAAGTCTCGCCAGTAACGGGCAGGCTAGAACCGACGTATCCCAGGTGGCGGAGAAACATGTTTCGGTACTTCGTCAGCGTGCCTATTATCGCTATCTGTTTACTCTTCGTCTTCATCGTCATGATTCTGAGTTTTCAGATACAGGTACGTACAAATGTATCGCATAGTTATCAACTATGAAAATATTTAAATTTACATCATAAGGACATGGTTATATCAAAATTATTTAACCCTATGGAGCATGGTGGTAACCCACATTACCACCCATACATATAAACTCTTCGACTTGTTTGACTTCGCAAAATTACAGGACTGGTGGGACGCGCATCTTGAATCCGGGGGCTATGGATTCTGGCTTAGTTACGTGCCAAAAGTGTTACTCGCGGTGGTGATTGCATTGATGGATGAAGCGTACTTCAAAGTCGCGGTGTGGTTAAACGACTTGGGTATGTATTCCAATGATAATCGAGTCCCTCTACTTTACACTGACTTCCTCTGTCTTTCTTTCCCTCTTCCCCCGCCCCCCCCCTCTTTCTGTCTCTCGACATAATTGTATCTTCGTGCGACTCAAAATACGAACAATTGCCATTTGCCGACTTTTTCGCATCGATATGTGTATTCTACGGTACACTGTGCACGTCTAGTTCAAAAGCATAGCATATACTTTCGATAATTTTTCCACGGCTTAGCTTCTTCTAGAGAATAATTGGAAGATTATGTAACGAGAACATCATACATTTACATGAAAGACTGTTGCTCTGTTTTTTATATGTGATTAAACCCGTGACATACTATAGATACAGTTTCGTTATTGTTTAAATTTTGGAGAGCGTTCATGGTGCGGTAGATAGTATTTGTGATTTTTGTGTGTTGGACGCAGAAAACTATCGACTAGACACCGAGTACGAGAATCATCTGATCTACAAAGTGGCACTGGTAATAAGAAGAACTCTCCATTTTCAACGAATAGAATATCAATGTTGTGCTAAACGTACACATGTCCTCCTCTAATTAAATGAAATAAATAATATTCACGGCCTCACTTTATATTATCAGAAAATGTACTTACCCATGGTGTGCCGTGAATCGAAATAAAAAAGCTCTGTATATTTATAATGCATGAAATTATATGATTACAATTTGCCTGAATTGCTCGATCACAACTGTTGTTTCAATCGTTTTACAATTAATATCTTCGTCAAGAATTAATCCTACAGTTGCCTGAAATAAATTGTAACGTTGCATTCAAACGAGTAACTTCATACTATTCTGTGTTAGTTCTACGCAGAGAGAATTTTCTTTTAAAATTTAAATCATGTAATCGTGGGACAACGTGACATTTTTAACAACTTTATGAGGATTTTCTGAAATCTTACCATACATTTTACTGGTAAAATGTATACTAATTATAAGTAAAATTACTGGTAAAATGTAAAAATGGTAAAATTTCAAAAAACTCATAAAGCTCTTCAAATGCCAAATTATGTTTATTTCACTGAATATGGTTTTAGTTCAGTAAACTATGGTGTAATCACAATTCGTCGGATGTACTGTACAATGTTACACTCAGAAAAAGTATGTTTGGAATCGAACAAATTTGTTTAAATTTTTACTTTATTAGACTTTCATTTAACTTCAAAGGAATGATTTATTTACCTTAACCAAAATTTTATTCAACCGAGACCGGAATTTCTAAAAGAATTCATCTATATTTATTCAAATCTAGTAAATGTTTTAGTAGAAGTAAATGAAAATTTAGTAGACTCAAAGAAACGTGATTTCAACGTGTCTCATTTGTTTAACCTGACTAAATCTTTTTTCTAGATGTATTGTATAAGTGACTGAAAAGAAAAGTTCTTTCTAGAAGAAGCTCTTTACAGAAACGTATAATTTTAATCCCAAGTAATTTTTTATAATTATTTTTATATAATATATTTGAATGTTGAACAGACGTAATAAATTCTATATAAAATATAAATGCAATATACAACTGCAATACTTAAGATAAAATGAACACAAGATTTCCAAACTTGTTCGCTTATTATAAAATTCTCTACATGATCAGAAATAAAAATATCTCGCCAATTGAGCTAATTTGATTTAATCGCTCTGAGATTCAGGCAAACGAGCTTGGTAGAAATTACAAACCAACGGTAACGGCGTTTGAAGAAAATTGTATATTAGAGGTGGACATTTTGAAAAATACAATATAGACTTGAAGCTTTTTGTTTTAAAGCCGAAGTGCCTGCTCTGGCTGTCTCTGTCGCTGCACGAACATTCCTTTCGCAAAAGAACACATTTTTGCTTATGCTTAATAATGTTATACACCACAGGCATCCGTAATCGCGCTTTTGTGTGCATTTTGTACATACGATGTATGTTAACTGCCGCTGCGATCTCCAGATAATCCGCAACGACTGTCCTACATTTCAGTTTCAGTTTGTTAACTCCTTCCTATCGCTGTTCTACATCGCCTTCTATCTTCAAGATCAAGAGAGACTCAAGGAGGTGAGAATTCAGCTTCTCCCCCCGCGATGTGTTACAATCGCATGAGAATACAAATTTCCGTTTCAGCAATTAGCGGCTCTACTCATAGCTCGCCAGGTGATCGGGAATCTGAAGGAATCCGCGGTGCCGTACCTGATCGAGCAGCTACGGCTGGCGCGGCTGAGCTTCGAGCTGTTCGGGGCCCTGAGTCCCAGCGAGGCGAGGCCACCCCCCGGCCAGGAGGGCGAGGAGCTGCAGGGCGGTAAAGACAGCGAGGAGAAGGACGAGCGACTTGACAGCGGCAAATCGAAGCAACCGCGAAACGTCAGCCAGGCAGAACTGGAGAGTTCCCTCTACAGAGTAGGGCATCCCACTAATTCTCTACTTAGTGACGTTACGTTCAAGGTTTGGTCTAGATTTAGCCAATAGCTCTTTCGTTTTTTCTGGGAGCACTGCACTGCACACGCATATCGACCCTCGAAGCACTCGCAATCGGTAACGCGATGTATGTACAGTCGTATAAAGATATAAGGAAGACTAGGAGGGACGCGTCTCTCCATCGAGATTACGCTTAATTGGTACGTGCTTCAGCCATCCTGTCAAGGTTCCTCTTCTTCAACAGATTTAGAGAGTGTCGTGCGAGATTACGAGTGAATCGAACGCGTCGTATCATAGATCGACCCATTTTTATCGCGCCTCTACGATCTTTCCGCTCAGACTGCACTCTGCGCATTCTATCGCATGGCGGATTGAGCCCAACTATTAATAGTAGATATTATCAATGTCCTGTGTTGCGTTTGTCGGTCGTTTCTTTTTGCAGAGTTTTAATGATTTTTCCCCGTTTCACACCCATTCCATCGACGACGCACAGGTATCGACCAGAAAGGTAATATCACACTCATCCTATCGTTAAAGACCAATCCTTTCTGTCACGAATAATCGACTTTTCATTAAAGTTCAAACTGCATAATTTCGACTGTTGTTGGAACGATGTTACATTCGATGATCAAAGTATTATACTAAATGTGTGTACACTATACAAATAATAGAAATTTTACATTGTCTTGATTAGCCTATTCAGCTTCAGACACTCTTTGGATAAAATAATGTCGGAATGTTTGCAAACATCCCCAATAGGAAAATGTCTCAAATATTGTGTAATAGTTGCATCAAAAGGAGGAAATTTCACGATAAATCGCCAAAACGCAGCGCACATACAGCACAGATGGTTGTAGTTACATTGCAGAAACGTTGCAATCTTGCAGATTGCAGTGCAATCTTGCAGAGACATTGCAGGGATATAAAATTGCAAACTTTCGATAGCAATATTGCAGCAATGTTTCCAAAATAATGAAAATACTATATTTTCTATTTAAAAAATTTTCTAATCACGAGAATTTTATAATGTTATTTTCCTTGATACCAATAATGCGCGAATTATTAAGTACTTGATCAGTGCGGTGTTGCTCGCAATCTCCATCTATTGCGAAGCGACATAACCTCCTTAGGGTTGCTTCGCTTGCTGTGTATTGAAAAAGGCCCGGATGCATATGTAATTAGTAAATTCTCTGCTTATGTACAACAACGACAAATTATTCCAAAAATATTGCACCGCAACATTGCTATAATGTTGCACTGCAATCTCTCTGAGGGCGGACATTTCAACATTACTGCAATCCTCCAGAAACGTTGCAGCAATGTTGCGCAACGTTGCTGCAATATTGCAATCTTGCGATGTAACATTTCTGCAATCTTCCTACAATCTTTCTGTGCTGTGTGGGCGGATGTATACAGGGTGTACCGCAATTCGTGACCGAAATTTTAATAACATATTTTTGAGCAAAATGTAAGACGAAAATCCTAATACGAAAATGTCGAGGCTATAATACTTTTCAAATGGGAAGCATTTATAATAGACAAATCAGGTAGTCTAAAGTTCGCGCGTTGAGGGACGGTACATTGCACAGTGATAAAGGTACTCTTGCATCTTTACCGATATACCTAAAAAAATTTAAGTAATTATATGTACAATGATGCTGATGTTATTGATTGAGTCATATTTAAACATGAAAAAATAAAAAAATAATAAATTAAAAATAATAAATATGAGAAGTTGTCCACATATGAGAAGTTGTCAACTTATGAAATGTCACAGACAATTTATATGGTAAAAATATTTTCTTCAATATCGATTTATATTGAGGTTATTTTTTTAATATGTAGATAAGATAGATTTCATATTTTATTCAATTTGGCAATGCCTAATGGAAATGATGCTGATGTTATTGATTGAGTCATATTTAAACATGAAAAAATAAAAAAATAATAAATTAAAAATAATAAATATGAGAAGTTGTCCACATGAGAAGTTGTCAACTTATGAAATGTCACAGACAATTTATATGGTAAAAATATTTTTTTCAATATCGATTTATATTGAGGTTATTTTTTTAATATGTAGATAAGATAGATTTCATATTTTATTCAATTTGGCAATGCCTAATGGAAACTATATAATGTTGATACAAACGCGAAATTTATTAGGAAATCTAGTAACAGTTTTTTTTCTATTGAATATTATAGTTCTGTTGTGCTACTATTAATACTATGAGATATTGTATTTGTATAATAACGTTTATTTAAAATTCTACACAATTCTATAGTATCTCGTAGTAGTACAATTAATAGTAGTACAATAAAAATATAATAGCACAACAGAACTATAATATTCAATAGAAAAAAAACTGTTACTAGATTTCCTAATAAATTTCGCGTTTGTATCAACATTATATAGTTTCCATTAGGCATTGCCAAATTGAATAAAATATGAAATCTATCTTATCTACATATTAAAAAAATAACCTCAATATAAATCGATATTGAAGAAAATATTTTTACCATATAAATTGTCTGTGACATTTCATAAGTTGACAACTTCTCATGTGGACAACTTCTCATATTTATTATTTTTAATTTATTATTTTTTTATTTTTTCATGTTTAAATATGACTCAATCAATAACATCAGCATCATTGTACATATAATTACTTAAATTTTTTTAGGTATATCGGTAAAGATGCAAGAGTACCTTTATCACTGTGCAATGTACCGTCCCTGAACGCGCGAACTTTAGATTACCTGATTTGTCTATTACAAATGCTTCCCATTTGAAAAGTATTATAGCCTCCACATTTTTGTATTAGGATTTTCGTCTTACTTTTTGCTCCGAAATACGTTATTAAAATTTCGGTCACGAATTGCGGTACACCCTATATGTAATTAGTAAATTCTCTGCTTATGTAAACAACGACAAATTACTCCAAAAATATTGCGCCGCAACATTGCTACAATGTTGCACCGCAATCTCTCTGAGGGCGGACATTTCAACGTTGCTGCAATCCTCCAGAAACGTTGCAGCAATGTTGCTGCAATATTGCAATCTTGCAATGTAACATTTCTGCAATCTTCCTGCAATCTTTCTGTGCCGTGTGGGTGCTGTTCGAAATATGTACCCATAATTCTAGTATTCCAAGTTTCTTCCAGATTTCGTCACGTAATTCCCTAAATATTTTCCTATCGGGGATATCATCCAATATAATTTTAGTTTTAAAATTTTCTGTATTATTAAAAATGCCAGATATGGTTAAGAAACTACTCAAGTTCTTAATTTTCAAGTTATGCAAAGTGACCGAAGGGAACGAACAAAGAGTTCTCATGGCTTAATCACGCAAAGTCCACCGTTGTATTGTCAGTTTACGTTTTGCCAAAATTTACTTTTCTTTAAATGCACGTGGATCCACACCCAAGATATGACACGTTAGCAAGTATTTCAATTATTCAAAGACAAGCACTGAATATATATACACTCTATTAGCAATCGTCTTAATTAGACTTTCTCATTCAGTTGATAATATTAAATAAACTTGCATTATTTATTTCATTGCCAAATATTGCCAGGTTAGTTTGAAAATTCTTCTATTATATATATAATTATTTAAAGAATTTACGCATTAGAACTAACAACTCGTGACATTTTTAGCATTTCATAGATATAAAAATAATAGATATATGAATGCGTAGAAAGTCTTTATATTTATACATTACACGTATAAGCTGGACGATAAAATAATTACGTGTTTATTTGTAGCGGGATAAGAAATTTACTGAAAATATATATGATATACATTTTAAATGATACAATATATGTATAGGATTATATAAATTTACATGTAATCTAATATATGTATAGTATTTAAGTAAGTTTTGTAACTTATAGATACAATGCTACTTGCAAAATACTTGTAACCATCGCGAAGACGTTTTGTGTAAACTTAATGAGTAAGTAATGCTTCTCAATTTGCAGTACGACGGGGCGTTTTCAGAGCATCTGGAAATGTTGTCGCAACTGGGATACGTCTGTCTCTTCTCTTCCGCATTTCCACTAGCCGCGATGGCCGCATTACTTGGGAATCTGCTCGAATTACGCGGCGACGCGTTCAAACTGTGTTTCGTGCTTCAACGACCTTTCGGGCGTAGGGTATCGAATATCGGCACATGGCAGGTAAGTGAAGAACGATTTATTTAGAATTCGTAATGTACGCGTGTATAAATTTAGCCAGTGAATAACTATTAAAAAACAATTTCAATAAATATTTATCACATCTGACTTTTTATCAATTATTTTTACCATTCTGTTAGTTGTTCAACTGCCTTGAAAGCGTTCAAAGTAAGCACTTTAGGTTCAAGTAGAAGCCGTTACGATTTCTTAATCTCTATTAAAAAGTCATTTATCACTACAGTAATTGAAATAAAAGTAAAATAATGAGTGACAAAGATAACTGTAATTGGAAATCAAAGTTAAATGGAATATATTCTTCCTTTTAGCTTTACACGATAAAAATTTTCTTTTAAAATTTATCCTGAAAATTATGTGATCGTGGGACAACGTGATATTTGGAAGAACTTCCCATACTGTCAAATTGACGTCGATTCGACGTCGATCGACAAGTCATTTCTATCTGGGTGTCTGAGAGTATTTGTTTGAAATTTTACTAGTAAAATGTATGGCTAAATTGGTTATATAAAAGCATGTATAAATTTATAAAATTATATAGAACTTTGTAGAACTGTACAGAATTATATAGATATATGTTATAAAAATATGTATGGACATATTTCATGTAGAGTTTTATATAATATTATATATTTATTCATGTTTATGCATGAAATTTTTTTTACTAAAATGGCATTTTGAAGAACTGTATAAGAGATTTTTAACTAGTAAAATTTATGGTAAAATTTCAAAAATTTCTTATACAGTTCTTCAAAATGCCACTTTGGTAAGAAATTTTTAACGCATGAACACAATATTATATAAAATTATACGTGAAATATGTCCATGCATATTTTTAAATTGTATATTTCTATATAATTCTATACAGTTCTACACAATTCTATATCATTTTTTAGATTTATACATGCTTTTATATTACCAATTTTTAAGAGGGGAAAAATTGCTCATTACAATTATACACTCACCCGCAAAAAAAATTTTTGACGCTCTGTGGCTGGATAAAAAAATTTGTCTCGAAAATATCATCTCAAATTTCATAAACTACAACTCTTTGCCTACAAAACGCTTTTTTAAAAATTGTCCTACGATGTTTTTTGACCGAGATATACGATTTTGAAGCTAAACCTGTACTTTTTAGAAATGTTGTAGATACTCGGCGAAAACTCATCGTAGACAAATGATTAAAAAAGCATTTTGAAGCTTGACGTTTCAACTTTAACGTGCTCTAGATGTCCTTTTAAAATTCCTTTATTTTCCTTGTTCGCTACTATAAAAAAAGAACACATTTTTTTTTCCTTAAAATTACGTACTTTTGATGCTCTGTAGTTGGGTAAAAAATTTCTCTCGACAATATCATCTCAAATTCCATAAACTACAACTTCTTGGCTACAAAACGCTTTTTTAATCATTTGTCTACGATGAGTTTTTGCTGAGTATCGACAACATTTCTAAAAAGTACAGGTTTAGCTTCAAAATCGTATATCTCGGTCAGAAACATTGTAGGACAATTTTTAAAAAAGCGTTTTGTAGGCAAAGAGTTGTAGTTTATGGATGGTATTTTCGAGACAAATTTTTTTATCCAGCCACAGAGCGTCAAAAATACGTAATTCTAAGAAAAAAAACAATGTGTTCTTTTTTAAAGCATAGAACAAGGAAAATAAACTAATTTTAAAGAATTGTTGACAGCATTTCAAAGTTGAAACTTCAAGCTTCAAAATGCTTTTTTAATCATTTGTCTATGATGATTTTTCGCCGAGTTATCGCTATTGAAAAATGTTGAAAAATTGGGCTAAAATGTGGTGGCCCATTTTTTTTGCGGGTGAGTGTATATAACTTTGTACACTTATACATAATCATATATAATTATAAACAAGCAATTTTTTACATTAAAAATTGTTTCATATAAAAGTATGTATTATAAAATTATACAAAACTGTGTAGAATTGTACAAAATTATATAGAAATATACAATGTAAAAATAAGCATGGGGGCATATTTGTGTATATTTTTATATAATTCCGGAATTACAATAGTAAAACATTGATATTTGTAAATTATTTATATTGAACGTGAGAATTGGAAAATGTGAAATAAAATTTGTTATATGATATTCACGTTCATGCATGAAAAAAATTTTACCTGGACGTTGTCCCACGATCACGTACTCTTCAGAACAAAATGTACGAGAAAAATTCTGTCCGCGTACGTGCTAAATCTACCTGCGAAATTAGATTAGGAGACACACTGCTTATATATAAAAAAATATGGCCCAACCGATACCAGCTTAGTTTTGCAACTTTAATAGAACGCCATGGAAGCGATGGGCCTGGTCGCCATTTTGGTAAACTGCGCCCTAATCGGACTAAGTGGGCAGGTGCAACGAATGTTTCCGGAGATGTCAGCAACGCAAACGATTTTACTAATCGTGGCACTGGAGCACATAATGTTCGCTATTCGATTTGTGATTATTTGCGCGATTCCCGATATACCTCATTGGGTCGCCACCGAAATGGCTAAGGTGGAATTCTTAAGACGCGAGGCAGTCCGAAGGCTATCCTCGACTCCGTCACCGGAACAACAGCCGACAACAGTGATAGGTACATAATTCATCTTTACGTGACGCTCATCTATGTTTACTGTCTACCTCTGTCACCTGACATATTAATCGAAGCTATTTTACGCTATTTCTCCGTGAACACTAAAAGATCTTCGTATCCCAATTTCATCTTTCCCGATCCAGTGGCCATTACTGACTACCCGTCCAGCATCCTGTGATAGTTCGCGAATGATCTTCGCGCTATCAGCGAGAAAGTGTTAAACGCTTTGCCCGTCGCATTGCATCCTTCCTCCTACCAGCTATTAATTTCGCTCGAACTCAGGGAGATTCGTGGTGAGTCCAGCAGACGGAGACAGCGATGAGCAGCGCTTGCTTTCCGAACGCGCCGGCTACGCGACTACGTCCAGTCGCGCGGACACCCCGACCCTGGCCTCGACCGCCGCCCACACGCCAAGCGGGCCGACAACGCCGAGCGCCGCGTCGGTGCCGAGGATCGCGGAGACACCACCTCTGGCTGGGACCCCCGGCAGCGGCGGGAGCAGCAGCGAGACCAGCCCGTTCTTACCCGAGGGCAATTCCAACGTCACCCGGGACATTCGTAACACGCCGAGATGTTCTATACCCGGAGGCGAACGAGGTTCGCTTTTCTCATCGCGCATCGAAGATTCTGTGCGAGAAAGATTTACGCTCAAATCACTGTAATTAACACGTTGCTGACGCGCGATAGCTGTTCGTCAACTATTAAAATTTTTTAAAAATTTAATGTCATCTAATGTAAACTTTTGAATAAGCGAATAACAATACAAAGTAAAAATCACGGACCTAGGAGTATCTGGACGGAGCGCACTTGCGCGGGGATGAAGCCTGAGGGGCAAGAGTGTACATGAACAACCAAGATGGCGGTGACGGTGAACTAGACTGTATTTCATGATATAGGCTGATGGCAGAGGACGATCTGTAACCGCATAAGACTATCTTAGGGCAGAATGGCTGTCTTGTACTCTTAAGACATAAGACAGTTATTGTATGTTACCTCAAGAGAAAGGTAACTTACAACATAAAACGTTGTCTTAAAACTGTCTTCAGAGTATAAGACAGCCATTCTGCAAGTCAGCGTCGGAAGTCAACGCACAAAGAATTGTCGTATGTCGCCTTGCGATGCAATGGATGCGATACACGTCTACGACAATCCTTTGTGCGTTGACTCTCGACACCGATTTAAGTCTTACGATGGTGATCGTAAACGGTTGCGACAATCTTTCTGCTCAGGTCCTTAGTTCTAAAAACACAGCATACTATTAAATTTTCAACTCGGTCCTTTTAAGATATAAATACTATGTATAGCATTTATAAAGATAATTTAGAGAAATCGCTGTGCGATATTATAACACGTGAATTCATTGACGACAATGATTCCACCTAGGGGGAAAAAAACCCTGTGTTTGTCCGTTTGCAACGATACGCGCGATAGGATGAAACAAATACGCTGTACGAATTCACATGATAATTGAAGTGGCCACCTCCATCTGTGTCAGGGCCTAAAAAGGCGTTTACGCTTCAATTGATTTACAACATATTGTGTTATATAGGAACGACCAAGATGGCCGCAATAAGTTTTCCCCTCACTTCTCAAGCTTCACTTCCTCGTTCAAAGGAACTTCCTTATGCTCCGTCCAGATATTCCTAGGTCCATAATAAAAATGTATTCAAAGTAATTAAACATTTTTGCTTTTAATCACATTACGGGATATTTTATCGTTATTTATAACAAAAGTTCTGCGGCGTACGAAAAATTTCGAGTGAAAAATCACGAAGGACCTCATCAAGCGGATAAATATTCGCATACATTGATGACAAGTTTCTCTCTCAATAGGAAGACGCTCGAGGGAATGGTTGAGCAACGAACCGGAAGCTTCCGGCACCAACGATCAGTATAGCCACCATCTGACCATCGGACCACACGGTGGCGTTGATTGGGTACGTCGGTTAGGTCTGGAGCCGGGTGGACGGAAATCGAGTGATTCCGAAATCACCGGTGCCGCTGCAGTAAGCGGACGGGAGGAGGAGTTAACTTTGCACAGGTCAACCGATTGTATCGTCTCCAAAGAGCTCGCCTCTTCCTCGGATAGCGATCTTCTCAGGTACAAGGAATAAAATACACGTACCGCGACTTTTCTACGATAAAATACCTGTTCCGATTGCACATTTTATCAACCGCCAGGAGAATCCCTCAGCCGTCTTTTTTACCGACACAGTCGGACATAATTTTTACGCTTGTAAATCCTTTTATTAGCTTTTATGCCCAAAATAATACTAGGATAAGTTGCGGACCGCATACGAAAACACTTTCATACTTCAAACACTCAGTTCAGAAGTAAACTTTTTGATTGGAATAATAAAGAAATTGGTATTTGAATTTAAAAATTTTTTATTCGCGAACAATTTGAAATTGGCTTATAAAATTGCAAAATTTTTCCGCGTGATTAAAGTACGCATAAACACAAAGCCGGGGGTTCACGACTTTATATTATTAAAAATATCACTATGCAAAGCTGTCACATAACTTAATCTAACCTAACCTCAATTACTTATAAAGTGACATTTTGAATTCTTTGTTTTTTTATTAAAATAAAATTGACCGTCCCTGGTTTTGTCTTTATGTACTTTATCGTGTGAAAGAATTTTGCAATGTTATGAAGCTAATTTTAAATTTAACAAAAGCTACGAATTAAAAATTTCAAATCCTAATATCATGAAGAATAGAGATAAGGAGGCTCAACTAATGCTTTCGAGAATGAGACCAAAACCCGGTTTCTGTGGTAGTTCAAAATATGTACACCGGCGGCGCTACGGTAGATAAACTATTGATAAACAGAAGTCGGGAGGGGATAAATCATGAAGAATATCTCTATTCTTCATGGTACACTAATATATACACTCACACCGGGTCTACTAATATACACTCATACTGTGTACGTGAAAACGCTGTCGTGGAACGGAAGCGACATCTCGATTAGGATTTAGTACTAGCAGCGATGACAATTTTTGGGCTCAGAATCTGACGCATCCGCCCATATAAGTTGACCCTCCTTATCTCTATTCTTCATGCCTAATATCTTTTCTACAAGGCTTTTGAACTGACAATGAGTGTTGTAAGTATGAAGATCCCACACAGCACAGAAAGATTGCAG